GGATTTATAAAGAACAGTCTTTTCATTGAAAAGAAAGAGCTTGAAACTCTTGGGAGCAGGCAATATTTCTAACTAACGTGCTTGAGTAGTCCCTGGTTCTCTGTGCAACTTCAGTTCTGGTCCGTTTCTGTCACTACTACAATATTTAAAAGGTGACCTTGAGAAGAAAAAACAGTTAATTCTCTTCTGTTAGTTTTTATGCTAATAACGTATAGACAAAGCCCAAAACTGTGGTTAATTGGGTAGGGTTTTCATTGGACTTTTTTTTTCCCCTTTTTTTTCCCCCCCTGTTTTTTGTTGTTTTAGGGAGGCGGATGATTCCTTCCTCCTGTATGTTAGGATTTTACCTGCTCTGCTTTAGAAAGCCACATGGCTAATGGCAGACAAATAGATTTTAGGGGCCTCGGAAATTAGATGGCAGAAAGATGTGGGAAGGGTAATTAAATTCTGATTTAAAAGTTGCCAGTTTTTATATAGAATGCCTTCTTTTCTGAAGTTGAGCATTTAACACTGCTTTGGATTCTTCTCCACTGCTATTCCTTCAATAATTGCTTGGGAAAGCATTTAAGCAATACTTTTACACAGCAAATAAGACTTCCAATGAGAATGAGCTTTCTGCTTCTGAAAGTTAAGTATATAGATAAGGAAAAGCAGTCTATTTAAGATGTTCTTCATGCATTTTAATCTAGCAAAGCAAGCTAGCCAAAAAAAAAAAAAAAAAGGGTCAAACCCAATTTTTTTCCTTTACAGGTCACCTTTGAGGGCTGTATAGATCAAGACCAGGACTTTTCATTCTTTTATGAAGCAAGTGGGGAGCCAGTGGAATTTGGAAAGCACAGGTGTGTGATGGGTTTGTGTCAACTTGTGGTATCCCCCCTTCTAGTCACCGTTTAGCAGTCATTGTGGTCCTCATGCAGACTGCTTCAGTAACTACAGATTATCTGCTATATCTTGACACAAATACATCTTTGCCTTCCTGTATGACAACCAGATTTTGAGAAACAATATTGATTGCTACCACTGAAGAAGTGTGAAGGTATTTTTCATCTTCAGATAGATGAAGTGTGTGATTAACAGGATAATGTGCTAAGTCCGTGCTTCCACTTTTTTAATAGACAGTGTTTTGTTTGTTTGTTTTAAACAGGGTTTTTAAAATTTTTGTTTTGTTTTAATGTGAAACCGGATGGTATTTATCTTTCATTTCTGTGGTTGCCTGACAGAAATTTCACATCCTTTCTTGAAAATTCAACCTGTTAATCCCCACCAGTGACTGCTGTTTTACATTAATTAATGCAACAGGAAACATTATTCATTTGACAATAGGAAAAACAAACAAACAAAAAAGAATTATACTGAGATTAACTAGGAATAAAAGGAGGCTAATCCAGCAATTGAAGTTCTAGTTTACCCATCAAAATGAAGAGTCACAGAATCTTGTTTGCCTGCAGCCTGACAGGCTTTTGTTTTTGTGGCTGTTTTCCTTTACTGTGGGCAAAGTAGCTTAGAAGCTATCTTTCTGTTGTAAAACAGTCTTAAACCTACTAAACTTTTTCCTTTTCCTTGTTCTGCACTGATGCTTTTGAGTTTAGTCTGGATATGTATCATTGTACTGTTGAAATGTACACTGTGACATCCAAAGTTATGACTCTTTGGGTTTGCATCCTGAAATAATGTGCAGTTCTTTAGCCAGAGCAGTTGCTTAGGCAGAGGCATAGTCATTAGGTTCTGAGAGAATAGAAGTTCCCTCCATTTTCATTCACTTCCTACTTGACCCTTTTCACTTCCAGGTTCAGAAGTCAACAAGCAGCAGGTAATCAAGTTCAAACTTTTTTGGCTGTAGCTAGAATGCCACACGATCTTCAACTGAGTGTTTGGAGGTTTTCTTCTGGTTCATTAAGAAGTGTTCTTGAGAACACTTGCTAAACCTTGGAAGGTATTCAAGACCAGAACTCTCAACTGTAATGTTTGTCGCCTCACAGGACAATATTTGGTTTTGTCAACACGCATACTGTGTTCTGCTTACAACTATCTGGGCAGTTTATGTGGAAGGGAGTAATAGGATGACACTACTTGAGCTTACAGGACACTTGGAAAGCTGACATGATTTCCAGTGTGAAGAAATTCTCTGTATCTGAAACATTGGAATTTGGTCTGGTTTTGACAAAAGTAGCACAAAATATTTGACTTAAATTGGCATTAGTTCACAAATCTGCATGAGTGCTGCTGGATCTAGGAACTCTAGGCCACAAGTACTACCAGTCCATGTCCAACCACTATATTTTTACTTTGAGACCTGTGTGGTGGCCCTTTCACAATGGTGTGCCATTTGGGATGGGGATAAGTCTTTCTTCGGGAGATCAGCTTAATGTGTGTTGTGTTTTATCTCCTGGATAAGCTGTCTCGCTGCTTGGGTATGGAGAATAGCCTCCTAGCTAAGTTACATCTTGTTTAAGGGTGTGAATGAGTAATTTCTGAAGTCTTGTTAGTTATTTTTCAGCCTTTAAAGTATTTACATTTATGATTCAGAAGGTGTTGTTATTTGAGTTTTAGTATACTTAGAGCACCACATTGCAATATCGGGACTGTCATATTAACTGATATTTCATTGGAAATTATGAAGAGGCATCAGAGGATTTTTGTCTGTAGGATAGATGTTTTTTTGTATTTGTTTTATTAATGTTGAAGATAAGGCTTTTTTCTAATGGAATCGGGATATACTAGCTTTGTGACTAATTCATCTGTAGCCAAAAAGAATAGTGTGGTGGGACAATTTTGCAGTTAGGTATTTGAAACATAAGAATTTACTCTACCCTGGAGGTGTGAAAGACTTCTACAATTTTACTTTTTTTTTTAACATTAATCATTTTTCCTTATCAGAAATCTGAAATTTCATGAAACTTATGTGAACTGCTGTAGTTTCTGGTAATTCTTCATAAGAGAGTAAAGTAGAGACAAAATAAATTCCTTGCAACCTTACAGAATATCTAGTCATTTCTCAGACTGCAAGGACTTTCAATTTTCTTTGGCAGCTTCACTTACGAAGGTTTAGCAGGTCTCATGTATATAAAAGCATCTTTAGAATAATTCTTCCATTTCTATTTCTCTCTCTCTCTCTCTCTCTCTTTTTCTTTTTTTTTTTTTTCTTAACATTTATTTAACTTAGAGGTCATAAACTGGCAAACTTTTGAGCTATACTCATCCACTTTGCTAAATGGATTTTTGCCTTGGCTTTAGGACATAATAAATACATACCAACACTGTCATCACAGAATCATAAAATCCTTAGAGATGGAAGGGACCTTTAAAGGTCATCTGATCCTGCAATGAACGGGGACATCACAGCTAGATGAGGTAGCCCAAGACCTGATCCAGCCTCACACTGAAAGTCTCCAGGGATGGGGCATCAACCACATCTCTGGGCAAACTGTGCCAGTGCCTCACCGCCCTCACTGTTGTCATGGTTCTATGTTTTTTTGGTTTTGTTTTTTGCTTTTTGGGTTTCAGTATTCCACATCAAAACATCATGTAGTGTACGGGGCATTAAAGTGTCACTGCCCCAATTCCAAGTTCCCATCCTTGTACATTACAGCAGTCACGGGATCTGGCCCTTCCGGGTCGGGGGGGGGGGGGGGGCCGCTCTCCTGCTGCCTGGCAGTGGGTGCTGGAGGTGCTTTCCTGGTCGTTCCAAGCTTTTCAGGTTTGAATCGGTCCCGAGAACTCTCTCTCTCTCATCTTGTCTGATTTATTAATTTCAATTTCAATTAAATTGTATATATTGTGTTATCTTGTATTCCAATATTATAGTAAAATAAGTTTTCCTCCATAGATTGTTGCCACTGCTCTTTTCCTCCCTTCCTTCCTTCCCATTTTTTGTGGGATTGGGGTGGGGGGGGGGAGAGCAGAGGCCTGTCGCCCCTGTCACGGGCATAGATTGATCTGGTCAACTCTGTGACAACTGTAAAAGACTTTTCCTTACATCCAACCTAAATGTACCCTCTGAGCTTGAAGCTGTCTCTGCTTGTTCTGTCACCACAGACCCTGCTAAAGAGTCCGTCCTCTTGTTCCCTCTAGCTCTCCTTATTTATTATTTAGATTATCCAATAAATAGGTAGGTATTTAGCTGTAGGAGAGTGATACAATGAGACAGTAAGTAGTTGCTCAGATTCTCCTTTCCCTGAAAGTGCAAGTGCTTTTATAGGGAGAAAGGAAGGTGGTTTTGTTTTTACTTTTTTTTTTTTTTTCTGCCAAAATTTTCTTCATTGGTGTCTACTTTACTATTTTGAAATAAATTCTCCTTATGGCAGGAGAATGTAGGTGGTATTGCTTCAGCTCAAACTGTAGCTTTAGGACTTTGTGCAGCCACAGATAAAAATTTAAACTAAATTTATACTTTATGGCTACTTGTTGCAGGTGCAGCTCATGCTGATAAGAGTGCATGAACTTTTCTGCAAAGCATACTTTTTTGTCATCTTAGTTGTATCTGTTCAAGAGCATTTGAATGATACGTACATCATTTTTTCTGAAGTGCTTTGGTGAGTTTAAGTTGGGAGTTCATCCTTGTCTTGAAAAACTTGACCATGGAGCTGTGGAAGGCCAAACAGTGCAGGATCTGGAGGGTTTCCATGAGATAAAGGAGTTGAAAGAAGAATGAAAGCCAGGATTTTGGCCTGGGGACACTCCATGTGATATTTGAACCTGAAGATGAAAGTGTATTTTCTTTGCATACTGCTGTCTTGAGATTTGGGATTTTAAATTTTCTCTTTTGAAAGAGTGAAACTTCCCTGGCAGTACTGATGCCTATAGCAGGCTTTCTTTCTTGGAAAAAGATGCTTGATGACTGGTAAATGTGCAGATAAACTGTGGCAAATGGGAAAAGCTGAGCAAATAAGCACAGCAGTTTTACATTTTAAGAGATATTTTGCTTTAATGAGTTTTAATGTGATAACAAAATCTTGACATGGAGCTGCTTTTAAATCTGGATTTTTTTTTTCTTTTTCTAGCATTGGTTGGACCATTCTAAATTCATTAAGAAACAGATAAAAAGTAAGTACCATGTCTCTGCGTATTTCCTTAAGAGTTTGGAGTATTTTAACACAGTTGTGTAAATATGACCTTTAACAGATTGAATATTTCTTAGAAAATAGATTTAATTTAATGGTTAATTGGCTGGCACAGATGTGAAAATGCAAGTTCGCATATAAAGAATAGATCAGTCTTCTGTACCCTCGTTAAATATGTCCTGTTTCTTTGAGGCAGAGTAGGTTGCCAGGTAATTTCAGTGTGCTCTGTGAAAGCAGGTTGCCTGGACACAGATCTCAGTATCTGTCACTGCTTGTGATCCAAAACAGGCTTTGTGATTTATTTATTTATTTTCCCTTCCAAGGAGTAAATGGAAAATATTTTATTCTATAGATTTCACCATCTTTTTGTACATTTTATTAAAACTAGCAGAAATACGTGGCTTTTTTTCAAAGGGAGTTTTGAGTGGAAGGGTTGAGTTTAGATTTCCTCATTGAGTTTTCTGTGGCTAAGGTGGGCAAGTTGTTCCTGCAGCTCTAGCAATTCAGTTGCAGGCTTGGGCAGTACAGGGCAGTACTAACCTGTTTTGTTAATAACTCTTGTAGACGACAGCCATAGGCCAACTGATAATACTGCTTCTATGAAATTAAAATATGGTGTTTTTCAAGGAGGTTGTGGGTTTTGTAAACGGGTAAACAGTCTTGATTCTTCAGTGATGCTTCACCTTTCTCTCTAACAAGCATCAAAATAAGCAGAACATTTCTGAAACTCATGAAGCTTTTCTTCAAAGGCCTTTAAAAGACAGTTTGATTTCACTCCACGCTGGGGCGTCAGTCTGCTAGAATATATTGTAAAGATACTTGCTATGGGCAATTTTTTGTTGGTTGGCCTTCTCTTGCTGTTCATAGAATTGTGAACAGCTTTACCTTAAGTGGCAAAGTGATTTCAAGGTGCACTTCCTGTAATTTCTTCGTACTTTTCCTGATCTTTCTTTAAATGTAGAGAATCTACAATTTTGTAACACCTCCAAGCAGTTAAGGTGCAGTTTTGTCTGTGCATAATCTTGAAAGTCCCTGTATTTAAAGCAGATTGTCTAAACCCTGGTCTGAGGAACCCCTGAAGAGTAAAGCAACTTGAGGAGTGTTGTAAAGATGTGTCTCACAACAGAATACATTTCATTACCTTTCGTTCAGTGGGTGCTTTGGGAAGAGTTCCGCTTTCGGGACAGATGTTACTTAGTGCTCTTTTTTGCCCCCTGACTGTGGGCAGGTAAGAGTCATTATCCTGCTGATGCTGATTTACCAGTGGTGCCCAAATGTCAGCCTGGTGTACTGTAACCTATGTCTTCTTGGAACTATCCTTGGAGACAAAATCAAAGATTTAATAATCAGAGTTTTTGCATCAAGTCTTTTACAAAAGTAAATCATTAGTCGGCACATATATGCCATGTTGATATACTGCTACTACAGAACTAGGTGAAAAATAGTCATTTTTCCAGCACTTAAGATAATTGCAGACTGTGGTCCTACCAGATGAGGTTTAGGCAGATAAGAATGGATTGGGTAGTCTCATATTAGTAGGGTAACATTTTATTATTTACGTCTACGCAGAAAATCAGAACTAGTGTCTGCCTTCTGGCATAGGAAATGATGATGCTTGCATCTTCACTTCATGTAATTTCCTAGCTTTCTGTGTTTCTTAAGGCTGTGTGTGTTTCAGAATCATTTTCAGCAGTTTTCACCTCATTTCTCTTACTTTTTCTCCTTCAATTGTATCCATTTAATGAAAACAGATCTATTGGGTTTTTTTTAATTGTTTGTACCTTGTAGCAAGAAGCATGGCTCTCTCCCTCTCATTCCCTCCAATTTCCCCCACCCCTCAGAAGTGTATATGAAATTTAACACTGAACAAAAATGTGTTTTCCAAATGTATTGTTTTTGTTTTTTTTTATTAAGTAATGATTAAGGTATCTTAAGGTGTGGTAGGCATCTACATTTCTGTAATTAGCATTGCATGTCTTTTAAAATTTTACCACATTAAATACTTGGTTCTCTTTTCTGAAGAATTTAAAAGCATACTCATTTTGGGTTTCTTTGGTTGTGGGGTGGTGGTGGTTGTTCAGCTTTAGAAAAACTTCAGTAGCGTAAACTTTTGTTTTTTTTTTCTCCTTTTAAAATCTCTGCATATACAGTTGGACCTCCGTACACGTTGCATTTTCGAATTAAATACTATTCATCAGAACCGAACAACCTTCATGAGGAGTTTACAAGGTAGGTTCTATGCATGGTTCGATGAGTGACTGGCAGAAGGGTAAATTAGGTATCTGAAATACATGGGAGTCTATTAAGGCAGCAATTTGAGCTTTCTTACCAAGAGTGGTCATTTTGTCTGACTTCCTGGCTGTTCTGCTATTAGAGAGATGTCTTCTTTTTTTTTATTTGCTGCCAAAATACATCTGAGGACCCCTCCAAGTATCTTGTGATTTATTTAAGTCTGAGCAAGTCTGAGGTTAGTAAAGAAAAGTGAAATAGATGACTTGAGTTGGCTGGTTGGCTGGTTGAATCACTTTCCCACAAATTCTTTGTGGGGCAGAAGGTATATGAAGTCTACATTGTGTAAAGATTTTTTAAAATAGGTAGCGATCTTTTGTTTTGATCTCATGGGCTGTTTTCTTGGCCATGAGAGTTATCGCTTGCTTGGTTCATAGCATTCTGGGGTGATCTAGAGGATACTCTGAAAACTGGGAAAGGCACAACTGGAGAGAGGGTAGCTGATTTTGTAGCTGATTTCTTTGTCTTCTTTCTATGGTAATCATCTTTCTTAATGTTCCTTTATAATCTTTAATTCTTTTTCTCACGCTGGGGGCACTTTCAATAGCTTCTACTTTTCTTGGCAAAAATTACCATCGTTCCAATCAGACTAAGATGTGTAAAGATTGTTGATTGTTGATGTTTAGTTCATGTGCCTGCGATGTTTATATGAAACTCAGGTCTACAGGCCTAAATCTGTTGTCTCCTTTCCTGTCTGCTCTATCAACCATGTTCTTTTTCCGCTGTCTCAGACAAGAAGATCAAAGAGCTAATCATCACCACCTTATTATGAGACTGCAATGTAGGCCCTAGTATGCATTATCAATTTAGTGCAGCAGTATTAATCCAATAGAAGGGCGTATTCATATATCGTTACATAATTAACTCATAGTACTCCCTGCCGGTTACATAATTGAGTATAAGATCTTTGTTCAAAAACCAAGATGACTTTTAGGCCTCTCTAATGAGAAAATGCAGTTAAGTTAGTAGGAATAATATGTATTTTCTCAAAATTGATATGTCTTCATATATCAGGGTACATCTGACAAGTATTACATTTCCCCTGCAGTCAAATTATCCCATTACTGTCTACCACAAGATTTCTTTCATAATCCTCTGGAGCATATGATCCTAGTCACTGTGAGATGTGGGTTTCGGAGCTATGTGATCACTGCTGTGATCAAGTAAGACATTTCCTCTGCAAGTATTAACCTCTGCTGCTCTGTGATCTAATTATTACTGAAAGTTGTAGCATTTCTGAAGACTGTTTTAATTAGACCAGCACTTCAATTAGCTAAATTTTCAGTGCAATGATTATTTTTTTTAATTATAAATTTGACAGAAAACCATAGTGAAACTGTGGAAGAAAAATGAAAATGAGTTGAAGATTGATTTTACTGTTCATTCACATTGGGGAAGAAGTAATTTTGGGCGCTGGTTTTCTTAATTATTATTTTTTTTTAAGAATCCTTATGTTGGTTGGCTCATATTTTCTGTGTACCACGTGGAGTAAAAAGTAAAGATTAACAACTGTATACTCAGAATTATTCCAAGCCGGAGTAAGAGGAGGAGGAAAAATGTTCATTACCAATAATCATAAATGGCCTGGTTGGAGAGGGAGAGGAGTTGCTGAAGATTCCTTGTGCAGACTGGTTTTTCAATAGGCACCAGTTCCTAGTGAAGCTGTAAACATCACATTTTCATAATTAGCACGGTAATGGAGAAGTGTTGAAACCCTTCACCCACTCTGTCCTTTTCTGATTTGAAAACGCAACTGAAGCCCAGTGCATTTTGGAAGACATCTGTTGTCACTTTTGCGGGACCTTGATTAAGTTAACATTGAAAAACAACAGAGGAACGTGTCTGTACATGTGTTTTGTGGAGAATTTTAAGGTATTCTGCTGATTTGGAATATCAATAATTGAAATGCAAATGCTTGTCAGTTGGCATGCAGAAGCAAAAGTAAGCCATCCCCAGCAGTACAGAGCTGCAGTGCTCTATAGGCAAGTTGGCACTGAGAGAACTACTGCTCAGATTTTTATTGCAAAATTAGATGAGTTCATAGGATTGAGAATCATCAGGGAAAAAAAATAAGAGCAGGAAACATACTTGTCTGTCTTTAATCTGTGTGTGCACATATCCAGATTTCATTGGCAAGTCAGATATTAGCCAAATATGTGAATTAGACGTGTGACATGGAACTAATGTGAATAAATCTCACTTTACATCAAGAAGTATTTTTAATCTTACTTTTCAGTTTTATCCTCCTTCCTGATTCCAGCTGCACGTTCTTCATCACCTTAACAGCACGTCTCCCGTGAGGCAAAGCATGTTGTCTTTCTAGCATCTTTTATGAAGATAGGTTTGCATCTGCTTGGTTGACTGTCAGCAGTGCTTCATGCTCTCTTCTCTTGATTCACTCATGGCAAGCTCCACCCCTCAGTTTCCAGTGCGGTGCAGAGCCTGCTTGTGCCATCCTGTCCTGTACAGAGTTCTTGCATGGCCTGAAGCACTTCTGCATGCCTCATACCTAAGCTCTGAGTGGCTGTGAAACATGAAGCATGCCTAGAGCTGAAGATTAACAGGAGCTTAAAAAACTGCTGTTCGCAGGCTGTAAATACCTACTTATAACATAAATAAATGTGTGGGCTCTGTGGAATTCACATTTCTCTTATTCAGAACTTTTCTAGTATTTAAAGTGAAAGTGCAGTCTGAACTTTTCCTTTTGCTCTGCTTGAACTTCTTCCATGTTCTGTATCTCTTACTGAGGAGGTAGCACTGAAAGTCTGGCCGTTGTTTGTGTCCCATAGTTCTGAGTTTGCCTGAATTGGGCAACACCTAGTTCAGAAAAATGTCAGTGTGTCGATAAGTTTTAGATAGCCCTGTTGTGTGCTCAGAGTGGGGCAGTGTTTCATTGCTACCTAAACAGAGTTGCCTTGAACAGTGTCCTGGGTGCAAGCAGTAGGTGAAGAATGGTCACTACTTTCTGATTATGGTGAAAGTTAGGGGAACTTTGAAGGTGGTAAGGTACATCCAAGTGACCCCAAAGACCCTTTTCATTTAAGAGAAAATAAAGTGTCTATTTAAGTGACTGTTATCTATAAGTGACTATTTAGTGAGTTGGGATATTTTTCCTGACTCTGGTGCTGGAAAGACTGCACTGGGATTTTACTTTTGACTTTGTGTTTTTATTTGTCAGGTACCTGTTTGTATTACAGCTCCGACAAGACATTCTTTCAGGGAAGTAAGTACCTTTCTGCTGTTGCAGCTGTAATGTGAAATATTTATCTCTTAGTGATCCTTTAGTTAATCTCTTGGTGATTTGAATTTTTTCTTTAACTGTTTGATCTTTCTTGTTCTTCGTGGTGTTCTTGCACAGGTTGTAAACAAGGTGTGGAGATCCATATGCATTTCCTCCTTTAGAATACAGAAACATATAACATGTGCATTATGACTATATTACTGAAAAATAAAATGGGTAAAAACCTTTTAGGGATTGACTAGCGTACAGAAATATATGAAGAGGACAAAGCCTGTCCTGACTTCTGTGTCTTTAGCTTGCCATATTTTTCAGTCTGACAAGTAACAAGAGGAAGAAAAGATGAAGTGCAACACTCCTTGTGCAAGAGAAGTCTTCTAAAAAAATTTTTGTATGCTTACAGTCGCACCCTGGCCAATAAATTCATATCTGATCTATATTGTTTTTAATTAAAAAATAATAAAAACAACATGGTTGCCTTTTATTAGTTCAAGCTTGCTTTATGATTGATCATATGTGTTTCATCCTATTGAGAATGTACTAAATGAGAGAATAATCACATGCAAGTAAAATTAATCTTAGATTATCTATATCACTAGTGGTTTGTGGTTTCAGTGTTCTAGTGAAAGTTAATGTGTTCAATTCATCTCTGAGTACCTTTAAGTAGCAAGAAGTCATGGAAAATTAAAATACATTATTTTTATAGCTTGTTTTTTTGTTTGTTTCTTTTGTTTTTAAGACTGAAATGCCCTTATGAAACAGCTGTTGAACTAGCAGCTCTGTGTCTTCAAGGTATGCAGTCTTTTCTAAGTCTTAACATATTTAAACATTTGTCTTAACATATTTAAAACACTTGCTGGTTTTCTTTTCAGTCTTTGTTACTAATGAGTTTTCACTGACAACATTTTGATGGCGTTCCTTTACTTGAGGAGAAGAATTTCAGGGGCAGCTCTTTAGTGCATTCTTTCAGTTCAGAACTTCTGAGCTCTGTTAGCCCAGGTTAGCACGTCTTGGGGAAATAGCCTCAAAGGCATGAGCAAAGATTTCATGGAAACTTGGTGAGTTTGAGCAGGGAGTTAGAAACTCAAATAGTTTCCTAGCGGTGGAGAAGATGTGGTGTGTGCATAGTGTTGTTACCTGTTCAACCTGAAGAGAAGCTGGCCTGTCAGCATACACTTTATGGTATGCTGGTCCTTGCAGGTCTGGTCTTGAACATGGGCTTCCTATTGCCTGACCAGTACTTAAAAGAAGTCCTCTGCAGTATGTGGAGCAGGCGATGGTTATAGCACAAGGGAGGGAATGGCGCATACTGAAGAAGAGAGAGTATTATGGAAGGGGTAAGAACTAAAATTACTCCTGTGACAGAAGCAAGGACTACAAGATTTTTTTCCTACAGTAGTGAAACATTTTTACAAATACTCTGTTTCTGGTTATTTGTTATGCAGATAGAGAGGAAACTTGCATAATGAAACTCAGAATTCATTTTTTTCTAAAATAAAGTGTTGTGATCTGGATCATTCTAGGCTTATAGGCAGCAAAATGAATTGAAGTGAAAAATACTGTTCTTGTACTGCTGGTGGCTGGCAATGACATAGGGAGTTCTGAGGCAGAGCCTCTTAGTTTCATACAGCAATGAAGGTAACTCACTGGTTCTAGACGGACTCAACAGTTAAAACTGGGAATTCATTTCCAGACAGCAATAGGTGTAAATCTTACTCCAGTGGCTTATGTCTTGATTTCCATTTGAACCTGTCTGGGACAGCTCTGATTGATAGGTGTGCAAAGAAGTACTGCAGGCAAACTCTGTGTGTGTTTTTAAGATGGAGAAAATCTGGCAGCCCATGTTTGATTTACTGCTTCCATTTTCACAGATAAAAACAATGGTAAACTCACCCCTGGTCTAAGCAAGGAGAACCAAGCAAAGAATAAATAGCTTGATGCCTCAACATTTTGGGTAGTAATTATCACCTGTGATTACTATGTAAATGTAATAAAGAGCCATTAATCATTCATTTGTGGAATATAGGTATTTATAATGTCTCTAATTAGGCATCAAAACTAATACTTCTTGGCACTGTTTGTGGGAACGTACCTAAATTTTGTTGGTGTTTTTATACTTTTCTGCTGTTTGTTTTCTCTATTTCAACATCATTGCAATACATTTCTCTGAAAATATTTTAGCTATTGCAACAAACTTATTTTCTCTGCTGGCATATGCTATAATTAACATTTCTGTGTAACATGTATTACGTTTTTATCGATATTGGAAGCTTTTAATTAGGCAGAATAGTTTAAAGAAATGTCAAGTGGTTATTCTGTCCTCCTAGGTTACCCTTACTATAAAAAAATCTGATCTTCTCTTAGTGTGGCTTTCCTTAAATTGAGGAAAAAGCTAAAAAGCTATTTAGAAATTGGAGCCCTAAACTCTCTGAAAGAAAGGCTTTTTCTCTTTATGGGACAGCTTTGAACTTCATTACATTTTCTTCATAAAGGAGATCGTTCTGTTACTTTAGTTCTTTCTTTGTCTCAAACAACAGCTTCATAGGTTGCTGTATGAACCATTTTTCAAACATAAATTGTTTTGTTGCCTATCCTGTGAAGGAATTCTCTACAAGACAATGTCAGTTTGCAGTATGGCATAATTTGTGAAGCAGATTCATACTCGCATGCTTCACTTAATCACAGAATCACCAAAGTTGGAAAAGACCTTCAAGATCATCCAGTCCAACCATCCACCATGGTACTCACGAGTACCATGGTACTCACTAAACCATGTCCCTCAACACAAAATCCTAACGTTCCTTGAAATTCTCCACAGTCGGTGATTCCACCACCTCCCTGGGCAGCCCATTCCAGGGCTATATATGGTTATCCACATAGCAATTATAGTCAAAGAAACTTGAATCATCCTTGGTAGAATAAGTTTCTAACTACCTCATTAGTCATGAATGGTTTTTGTATTTAAGCACATCTACTTCAGAAAGTACTAAATAAACTCCAAGGAGAACATTTTCTCGCACCTCCAGTTTTCAATTTAAATTTGAAAGACCCCCAGTTCCCCCAGCCTTTGCTGGGGCAGGCTTTCCAATTCTTTGATCATCTTATTCATTGTTCTTTGGATCTTCTCCAGCCTGTCCGTATCTTTTTTTGTATAGTGGGGACAAAAATAGAGCACAGTGTTCTAGGTGTGGCCTGATAAATGTTGAGTAGAGCTTGGTAATCGCTCCCTTATCTCTGCTGGTGATGCCTTCTGCTGATGCAACCCAAAATCTTGTTGACTTTATTTACTCTATCAGCGTTCTATTCAGTCACTGAATTTATCACCCACCAGGACCTCCAGAGCCAGACAGGCTTTTGCTAGCTAGTTTTTGTTATTTTGTTTGTTTGGTTGGTTTTCCCCCTAAAGTCCTCCTTACCAATGTGTTTATTGTAGTTCCCCTCTTACATTCTGGAGACTGGAGTGCCAGTATTTCTTAGCAACAACTGTTAAATAGGCTCCCAAATTAGATGAAACAGCAGCAGAACAAAGGTATCTCTGTTGAAGATGTACAGCTAAGAATATTGTAGCTTACCATTGCAGAATACTGTTGAAGGGAAAAAAAAAAAAAAAAAAAGAAAAAAAAAAGAAAAAAAAAAGAAAAAAAAATTCTGCAAGACAGTAGTTAACAGATTGCATTTTGAAAGTAACTTATTATGTTTTAATATAACCTGCTTGGCATCTTTGAAGACTGGGAGTGAATTAATGATTTATGAATCTTGATTATGAATTTTTGCAGCAGTTATGTGTAAAACTGCCCTGAAGCAACAAAACTGTTTCCTTCAAAAGCTTTCATTTTCCTCTATCTTTTCCCTTGTAGAAGTAACAGTAAAGAGACACTGACTTCCAAAGCACTGGTTTGGAATCACAACACATGCAGGTGACACAGTAATTACAGGCTGAGGGAGCTGGGCTTGTTCAGCCTGTAAAAGAGAAGGCTGTGGGGTGACCTCATTGCAGCCTTACAGTACTTAAAGGAAGACTATAAAAAGGTGGGGAGTCAACTCTTTCAAAGGGTAGATAATGGCAGGACAAGGGAAGATGGTTTAAAGTTGAAAGAGAGAAGATTTAGGTTGAAATTCTTTACTATGAGAGTGGTGAGGTGCTGGAACAGGCTGCCTAGAGAGGTTGTGGATGCCCCATCCCTAGAGGTGTTCAAGGCCAGATTGGATGGGGCTCTGGGCAGCCTGGTCTAGTATTAAATGTGGAGTTTGGTGGCCCTGCATGTGGCAGAGAGGTTGGAGCTTCATAGTCCTTAAGGTCCGTTCCAACCCGGGCCATTTTGTGATTCTGTGATTCCATGCTGAAAAATACATTTACTGTTGATGTTTGTGTCTCAGACCTGAAGCAGTGACATTGCAGCCTCTTTATGTACCTTACAGGTTCTAGGAGCAAAACTTACCTTACACTTGCATTTCTTGCTGAGCTCAGTAGAGTTTACAAGTGTGCAGCTCCTAGAAAAAATTGTAGCAGTTCCTAAATAAATGAACAGGAAGTGATACTTCAGTTATGTTGATGCTTCACCATTTCTTTCCTTAAAAAATAGCTTAATTTGAATATTACACCATCATGATGATATAAAGCAAACAGACTAAAACTTTGTCACTGATTTCTTGAGACTAGATATTATCTTACTGTTTGGACTCCTACAGTAATGTAAGAAAGTAAGTTATAGAATGTCTTGGAATGAAAAGTATGACCTCATTATAGTGAGAAAAGACTTCAAAGTAACCTCCTCTGAAATAGTAGTTATTTAATAGTATAGTTATATAGTAAGTTATATAATAGTAGTATTGATATTTTGATTTTATGAGAAACTTAATTGCCTTTAAGTACTTCAAAATCCAGAGAAATGGCTGCAGCTCTTAAATGTTAGAAAGTGTTTTGATTTTAGATGGCTTTTTGTTTGTTTTTAATTTACAGCATCAGCAGAAGCATATTCTTGTACAACGTATGGTGATCTTTGTTTTTAACTTTCCAAACGATTAATTTCAGCTGAACTGGGAGAGTGTGAACACCCAGAGCACACACCAGAACTTGTGTCTGAATTCCGATTTGCACCAAACCAGACTGAAGCAATGGAATTTGACATCTTCCAGAAATGGAAGGAGTGCAGGTAGGGTACTTGTGTGGGAATGGCATCAAGCAATAGGTTTTGTTTTCCTTTCTTCCAAAGTCAACTATGTCAGTAAGTGCCCCCTTAGCAAACATAAAGAAGCAACTGTACTTGAGAATTGAAACTGTATGCTAGACAGAAACCTCTTCCCCATCCTCAGAAATAGATTCAGCTTATAGAAGGTTGGTGGAGTGTATGCTGTCTGATTCTGGTTTGTTTTTTTTTTTTAATTTGGTACTGTCAGAAACAATTCTCTTTCATGCATGCACTCTCAAAGTTTTGTGTTCAGGGTAGTTCTAAAAACTTTTTCTTTCTTTTAATAAATACAGTACATCTTGGTAAACGTTAGCTGAATTCTCCTGCGTATTGGCAATTGTAAACCTTTTTAAGTTTTTATCACTCTGATTAATTTTCATTTAAAGGGAATAGGGTAAAAGCATAAGCCAAGTTTGAAATTCCTTTAATGTCAGTAAGATTGAGTGTTCAAAGACAAGGGGGTAGGGAAAAGAAATTTATTTCCAAAACAGGAAAAAATTTTGTACTGTAATCTAAAATAATCTTTATGTTCTTAGGGGAAAGAGTCCAGCACAGGCTGAACTGTGCTACTTGAACAAAGCCAAATGGCTAGAAATGTACGGTGTAGATATGCATGTAGTTAAGGTAAGGTACATGTTGTACTTTGTTTTATTAAGATGGGGTCAGAAGATTAAAGGGAGGTGCTGTCTCAGACAAAACATAGTAAACTCTGGGAATGTAACTTAATTTAATATACTGTCAATTAATGCAAACTTTTAATTACCAGTTTGGTTACTGAGGAGAAAAAAAGAAGACAATAAAGCAAGCATTGATAGAAACACCATCACCTTCCCTCCCCATTCCTTAGGCTTAGCATATCCTTCAGTCTAGCATATCTTCTCCCCTCTTCCTAGTGTCAACTCCCCTTGTTTTCCCTGCAGGTTATAGTGAGTCCGTCCCAGTTCAGGTCACAAGGTTGGGATCATCTGTATAACAGTTTCTTTGTGATGCTTCCTGCTTCTTCCTCATTCTCCACTGCTGATGTATGCTTGCTGCTGTGAGGGTTGCCCACAGACTTTCATTACCTCAGGGCCATCCCTTGGAGGGGATTGGTCTAGATGATCTCCAGGAATCTCTTCCAACCCCTAATTCTGTGACTGTGTGTGACTCTAACCTGGGATGCGTTCTCTGTGAGCTGCAGTCCATTAGGGCTGTCCCTCGTCCCGTGTGGAGTATCCATAGGCCATGGTGCCTCAAGGTTGTCCTTGTCCTCGTGTGGCCACAGTCCCTCATAGTTGTCACTGTCTCGCTAAGAGATGTCCAGAGGCTATGACCTGTCAGAAGTTCCCTCTCCTGTGTGGTCAGGCTCTTCCAAAGAGTGCATCTTGAGCCTAGTCTCTTTCCACATGACTTATCCAGTGTTCATGATTTTTTTTTTCTTTTGTATCTACTTCTCCTGGCAGCTATTGCTTGCTCTTAAATAAGTGCATTTAAAAGCTCCTTAGGTGTTGTGTTTGAGCTTCTCAGGTATCAAAGCTGCCTGAGACAGCATATGGCCTCCTCCCACAAAGGGTGCTCTGCAGCCCTCGATGCCAGAACCCTTTGATTTACACCCACTACAGTTGCATATTCTTATTCTCTGTAATGATAACAGATGCAAACCTTGTTGTATAGATTAAAACCAATGGATTTTGATACAGTGTGTATAAGATTTATGCTACTAATTGCACATTAATTATTGGTTCTGTGCTTGCTTGTAGGGAAGAGACGGTTGTGAATATGCTCTTGGACTGACACCAACGGGCATATTGATCTTTGAAGGAGCAAATAAAATAGGCTTATTCTTTTGGTAATCTGCTTTTCTTTTATATAAATATACATATATTTCTTTTGTTAAAATGCTGAAATCTATCTGCTTTCCTGTGTTTTGTAATGCAGATTGAATCTACCAGTTTAAAATAGGTCCAAAGGTAAAATGGTTTGGTTGGAAGTACTGGTGGCAAATGTGGTTTTAAAAATAAATAAATAAATAAATTATTGAAATATTGCTACATTTCCAGGGAATCATAATAAAATCATAACCAAAAGTATAATTTCTGAAGTGTTTTGGGATTGCAAATCCCTGATATGATATATTTTGGGGAATTGTCCTAGAGTACAAAATACAGTTTTTCCATTAATTTTCTGTTTGCTTCCTATACGTTCAGGCCTAAAATCACAAAAATGGACTTTAAAAAGAGCAAACTAACACTAGTGGTCGTGGAAGATGACGAACAGGTAACTTTCTGCCCTTTCTTTGGCCTGGTCCAACAACGTGCAGAGTGTGTTTTGACTGAAAAGAGCACAAGAGGCTCAGCACAGTGTTGGATTGGGCTGTATTTTTTGCCATGGACAATAATTAATATCATGCATGCCAACTTCTAAAGCTTTTGTTTCTGCATTTAGGGCAGAGAGCAAGAGCACACATTTGTTTTCCGGTTAGACAGTGCCAAAACGTGCAAACATTTGTGGAAATGTGCAGTGGAACATCATGCTTTCTTCAGACTGCGAGCCCCAGCAAACAGTAAATCTAGTAGATCTGACTTCATAAGGCTGGGATCACGCTTCAGATTCAGGTATTTAGTGAAGTAACAGCAAGATACTAGTTTTACAGAGGAGGAGATACAGCATTCAGCAAAAGACAGCAGTTAACTTTATTTTTGTATTTCAAGTGGACGGACAGAGTATCAAGCAACACATGGGACAAGATTGCGCAGAACTAGTACGTTTGAAAGACGGCCCAGCAAGCGATATCCTTCTCGAAGGCATTCGACGTTTAAAGGCAAGTGTATGTGTGGTCACTGAACTGTTCATGCAGTAGTTGCTGTCTGGAACAGAATGAGCTGATATTCCCTTGGGATGTCTTTGGATTCCTATGTATTCCTGGAACATGAACCTCAGGTCCATTAAAAGTCTTTGTGGAATTACAGGCGAACTTTTATTTCCACCTTCTCCTGTACCAAGGGGGGAAAAGGACAGCAAGTAGGCATGCTCTCTAGAAGCTGTAAGCCCCCACCTCCCTTCTTCATCTCTCATTTACAGACATGCACTGTATTTATGAGATATTTACTCTCATATATCAAATAATACTTATGTGATAAGTATGGATGGTTTCTTAAGTGGAAGGTAAGATTATTTTAAACGTTTTGTAACAGAGGGATCTGTCAGGCCTTGCATTGCAGTGTTTCCATACAATGGCTTATGTCTGTGAGGTGGGATGAAGAGAGAGTGTGGCTTATGATCGTTCCAGTTCTCTGTGCGTAGCAGCTGGGCAGAACTTCTGCCTTACCCAGATGATCTCCATCCTGAGATGGTGACAGAATGTTTAAGTTCGTGCAGTAACTCGTTTTAGATTATTCTGTCACACATCTCTTTTCCTTGTCGTAGCCCACAAGTATTGGATTCTGTCCTAGCTCAGTCACTCTGCTTGTACTTTTACAGTGTCTGATTAAGTCTGTAATCCACTTTCTGCATTCAGCACAGTCACGGACTTTCAGTTATTTCAATTAGCGGTTTTTCATTGCTCTTTCTGAAAATACGGTATGCCAGGAAAAAGAAATAATACATCCCAGCTATTCTATTGGCTTCTTCACCATTTGTCTTCACCTGTCCAAAGCATGGTCCAAGATTTTGTTCCTGAAGATTGATTGATGTTTCCCCGTATTCCTGGCTGGTAGCTTATTTTTCATTGTAGTAACACACAGTTTGTTACCAACTTCAAGAATACTTTGAACTCTGAGATGCAAAATCATTATGGAAAGTAGCTTTTGATTTCCAAAGGACTCAATGTTACTGACGTAGTAGCTATAGTAAATGGAGAGAACTGGTGATCTGGTTGTGCCGAACTTGCTCTGCCTGAAGTCCTTCCTTCTGGCTGCTGGGGAAGAATAGTCTTCTGCAGTTATCTTTGATGGATCTTGACTCTCGCAGAAACAAAGGGAAATTTGTGTCTGCCTCATACAGGACTGTGCTTAGATTATGACACGTTTGTACAGATGTCTGTACAAGGATTCACTTTAGCAGTGGTATAACACCCCAATGATGATAACTGTAAAATGACTGATGTTTCACTGGTCTAATGGTGTGTTTTTTTGTTTGTTTTTAAGCAAACAATCCTGTGAAAGCAGCACAACTGTGGTAAGTGATTCTTCAAGTTCTCTCTACCTATCAGTAACTGTTGTAAGTTAAGGGATCCTGAAGAGCAGTTCTGCACCAAGATTTGTTGACTCTCATTCTCTGGTGTAGGAAAAATTGCTTGGGAATCTGTCATTATGCCACACCAGATTCTCCCTGGGGACAGACTGTGAGACTTTGTGCTTTCATTTTTAAGATGTTTCTGTTTGAGATCAGATTAAAATAAAGCATATTTCCTTTCTGCTCATTGCTGTTATTCTAATTCATCTAGCATTTTTTGTTCTTGTTGCTGTGGTTTATATCCTGAATAAACTACTGATGTCCTAATTTTACTTCACTGTAGTACTTCCTTGAAGAGTAGAGCCCAGAGGTATAGGAAATTGCTATGTGGATATTTTTATAAAAAGTACTAACTTGTTTGTGCAAGTAAACTGTTTTGACTGTGCAACTGAATGAATTGCAAATAAGAATAATGTTTCCTCAGTTGCTCAGAATCCTTATTCTTATAGCTGACTGCGCTTAAGCAGACTTTGTTGGATTCTAACAGGAACAGGTCTTCCATTGGACACTTATAGAATGAGGCCTATCGTGTTTTAAGAAAATGAATTTTTCTGTGTACCTTTGGGTTTTGTCAGTATTTATTACATAAAAGCTTTTTTTTTTTTTTCTTCTCCTTCAGTGCTAAAAATACTCCTGAAGTCCACAACTACCAGGTAAGCATAAATATTGTTGAGGGAAGTATTTACTTCTAAAGTGCTCTTACTTAGTGGCAAATAATTTCTCTGGTCTATAATTATGACAATTGCTTTTCTCCCTTTCCTTCCACTGGAGTGGGTTCATAAATTTGCAGCGTTAGATTGGGAGTTCCGGATAAAGTGAAGGGACTTTTCTATCTTGCTTCCCTTGTCTTTTTGGATACTCTGCATGCTGAATACACTCAGTTTGTCATCCTCTTTTGTTTTCCTTCCTGTGAGATCACAGGTTAAGGACTGTGGGACTGTGTATGATGCACTCTTGCAGACTGCTTTGTGAGCAGCACTTTTGTGTAGAACAGTATCTGACAATAGAGGAGCTCTCACAAGTTCAAAGCTGTGATTATCTCCTCCATAACAACACTTGATGAGTTCATTGCTGGTCAGATGTTTGTGCTGGTGTTTTTCTGTGTGTGTGTTTTATTGTTGTTGATTGTTCTTTTGTATTTTTTTAAACAACCTCCTTTGTAAGCTTTGATGGAAAAACCTTACCTAGTCTTTATCTGCAATAATAATCCATACTACTGAGAAAGCAAGGCATGCTTTCGTTCAAACTGAGTGCGTGCATGAGAATGGAATGCTTGTTTTTATTAAAAGCCTCACCAGTGATTTTATTTCATTGTTTCTCTTTAAGACTTCATGGGTATGAGAGAGAAATGCTGTCGCCAATGATAGGTGACCTTCTGAAGGCATCCACTGTAATAACCTTTCTCACTCTCCACCTTTGATTAAAGCTGGGCATACTGATGTGTTTTCTATGAGAAGCACTGGTTGTGCCAGGTTGTCGCTCAAATAGAAAACCAATTTTCTTTGCATTTGTCCATGAGTATGTCCTAATAAGCAAGCTTATCATTAAGAGGTCTTGTACGTGTGCTAAATGGCATGGAAGAAGGTCTGAAAGAGTGGATTTTTTAGGGCTCACAGCTAGCATATTCCTCATGATTCCAGAAAAAAATAGGAAGTTGAAATTATCAAGGAGTTTTTACATGGTTTTACTAACCAGGTTTAATGTTTTCACTTGCAGCCACAGTATCATCCTAATATACATCCTGCTCAGCCACACTGGCACCCACATACACCTGTGAATGTAAGGTAAGCAACCTTCATGGAAAAGATTACTTCTTTCTTAATCTATCAGTATGAAGCTTTGGTGGACATATCAGGTGATTTTTTGCGTGTGAAAAGCAAATAGGAATTAGAAATATAAATGAGTGAACAGCTTCTTGCATTACAGAACTTCTTTTTTTCATTTTTTGCTGAAATATACATGGAAAAATAATGTGTACATGGAATAATATCGGACTCTCTACTGAAACTAGTTCAGTTATTTTAGAACTTTGAATTTCTTAGAACTATATCACAAAAATATTCCTGTTGTGTTACCTTGTGCTAATGGAGAAATGAAGTGAAAATAAATTTTGGAAGAAATTCAATTTAGGCTTGAACCATCTTGGTGGAATGCACAGGTGGAGACACAGCTGATATGTGTCTGTGCACATACACGTGATAAAATTTAGCTGCTATTTTGTCCTAATAAAGAATAACCTTTCTACACTGGGTCAGGATATTTTTGGCAAATAATTACCATCTTGACTGAAAGTACCAACAGCCTAATCTTTACTTCTGTTGATTTTACCTTTTAATTTCTGTATGCTTACATCAGATAGCTAGACTTTGTTCCTGGTGTGGTGGGCTCTGGAAGCGACGAGCTTAAAATGGATAAAAAGACAATTTAGCTTGAGTTCGAATCTGAGAATGTAGGAAAAAGGCAAGTACTTATTAGGCAGAGAAGCAGGCATGCTCATTGTCATCCCAGAATTGCTGGTATGAAACAGTAAAGCATACATGAAAATTACGCCAGAAACAGAAGACTGTTTAAATTGAATAATTAATTTTGCCTGTACTTTGTGTTCAAGATCCTTCCTGGCTTTAGGGTTTTCACGTCCAGACTTTTGTTTGTGATTGTAAATATCCAATATCCAATTTTACGTTACCAAAGAGGAAGTATTGAGAGAAGTTAATAATTTTAGAAGTCATTTGAGGTTTTGCTAATTTTATTTTACTTTTCTTTTTTTAATCCTAAAGATTTCGTCACTCATGATGCGTTTTAAAGCCAAATAGTTAACCTTGGAGCAGAGCAATATTGAAATAAGCACAATAATGCACTATAAAGCGTGCAGACAATCTCCCCCCCTCTCCAACCTCTGCTGCCAGGGTAAAGATTAAGACCAGTGAAATGTGAACAATGACATTTTCATATCTAGGCTTGCAATTCTAAAAGGATACTTAAATACTCTTCTGTAAATTCATTAGAAAAAGTGCTTACAATTTTTCTTCCAATTTAGTACAAATGTTTAAATGTGTTGTTAAAATGGAAGCTACAAGTTATTTTAATGTGTTGTCAAAGTAGTGGAGCTGGACATTTAACATCTTGGTTAGCCTTATTTGAGAACGTTTAATTCATTTGACTGAATCTGAGATCAAAACACAGATATGCATGAGATTTTTTCTGTTGTCCATGCAAGTCTATAATGGGCTATAGGTTGAAGTGAAACTGAACATGCAGTACTGCTTTTATGTATTTCTTTATAGTTATGTATTATCTAAAATTTTTTACAAATATTTCTACAAAATATTTGTTAAATAATAGGTGGAATTGTCTCTGTTTTCATAGTAAAGTCCTTTAAATGAAATTTGCATTTAACAAAATGTTCCATCCTGTGAGAAAATTCATTCCAATTAATAGTTGTGATTTTAGAATTTACAATGTCTTGTTTTGTTTTTCAAAATGATTCAGTAGAGACTGTAGAATTGGTTGAGGTTAGTGTCTCTAAGTACCAGTAGGTGATGAACAAACAAGGAAAAAAAGTTATTTTCAAACTTCTGCAAGTTTCAGCACACAGTCCTATGGAAATACCTGTACTACCTACAGGCTGTAGGTATTCATCTTAACAGAATGGACTGTATTGTACTGGCTGCTTTGGCAAACTAACTGCGCCAGTGGTGAGTGAGTGGCAATATTTATGGAAGAGCAATTTTCATTCTTAATAGGATTGTCTTTTGAAATTTTTTTAGTCCTTAGGGATATTTTTTTCAACTTTTTTGCATGATTTATTTTACTTGTTTGTTGTACTCATGTATGCTTTCCTATGGCCCCACCATCTCTCTGGGATTCAGGATCATTGGTGCACAACACTTGAGAACAGAGATTTTAAATGGCTTAGCTCTAATTCAAGGCCCTTTGAAGTGAATTAAAGATTCCCAATTGCATCAATAGATTCTTATGAGACCTGTCACCATTTTCTTCCCTTTGTGGTAGCTGTCCATCACAGTGTATGTATGCTTAGCATTTGCTGGATGAACTCATGTTGCTGTGTAGCACTCATAAGTTTACTTCCATCTCTCACTAACCAATGCCTGTGCAAATGGTACAGGCCATCCTATCATGATGACAGGCCATATTGGAAGCCCCCCACAAGTGGAGAGGACAGCAATTTACGATATATTCAAGAACAGAACCAGAAGAATTTAGGAGAAGTCCAAAGTATGGTGTACCAAGATAAACTCATGACGACTCTCTGAAAAAGTCATCTTCATTTCACCTGCCATCTTAGACGATCATTGCATTCCATGGTCCTTGTCTGTCTGCCGTATGTTCAAAGTGTATTGTGAATGAAGTGTGTGTCTTTTTACGTACATCTTTTTATGTACATCCATCCTTGTTTAGTGTTCATGGACATTCTTGGGAAAAGTATTTTCCATGTCTTTGTAAAAAGAAAAAAATCCTGAAAAAGCCTTTGTGAAAGCTGGTAAGAATTTTCAGTGTCCCAGGAACAGAAATATTTCTGGGGATTTACATTCTACATTACTTTTTGAATCTGTGATCCTCTGTCTGCTGTTGAAGGTTAGCCATTACAGCCTTGATGATTTTTATTATCTTGTTTCTTTTGACTCAAATTAATAGATGAAGTTGGAAAAATTTTGTCTTTTAGTTGATGTGCAAATAGGAGACTGGAGGGAGAAAAATAGAAATCAGATTTCATGCTGGCAGTTAAAATGACTTAAGGCACGCCACCAAAGGGAGCCTGCTGAGGTAGTCGTAGGTTTGGGTGTCTTTTGCTTTTAATTTTTGTATTCTACAGCAGAATTAGAGGTGCTTGCTGAACACTGGGAAAGAACACTGTAATAAAGTTTATAGAGTATGCTTTTCACTTTTTGACTAAGTGATTATATAAATGGCATCTCCCAAAACCGTACCTGCTGCTATACGTGCAAGAATGTTAAAAATGAATCCTTGCTATAAGGGTGCTGCTGTCTTGTTATTTTTAATGTGACTACAAAAATGAATGACACAATTGCATAAAGCTACCTACTGATAGCTCTTCAGTGCATGGATTCAAGACCACAGCTTATCATACTGAATCACAGAATTGTAGGGGTTGGAAGGGACCTCTGGAAGCCATCTAGTCAGCCCTCTGCTAAAGCCGATTCCCTACAGTAGGTTGCACAGGACAAGAGGAGGATGATCCAGTAAAATAGTTCTATTTTTTTAAGGTAGACATTTGAAGAGTTGAATATATATTTTACAAACCTAGTTCTTTAAATAGACTGGCTGGCATTTTGATCACTTGCCGATTTATTTTTTTTTAACTGGGAATCAGTGCCATCTTCACTCACATGTTTATCTTGGCTTTACATCTGTGGTCTCTCTGAAGTTGTCGATATGAATAAGTCTTTATATGGGATATTTGAAAGTGAAGTAATTTTTAAACTTGATTTTGATTAAATATACGTTTATAAACAGCTATAAACATGCATTTTTTTTCAGAGCAAATTTGATAGTGTATATCTTTTTGTAAAGTATATTTGTTTACAAATGCTGTCTTTTAATATTTGTTTTGATCTTTCCTGTATGTGCTAAGTACAAATAAAATTCTCAATCTTTTTCTTTTGGTTATGATGCATTATTTATTTTTGAAAGCTTTATGGGGAGGGTTAGATGTGATACACCACTGATCTACCTGTGTTGCCCTACTAATGCTGCACTGTAGTGTCTGTTGCTACAGATAATGTCTGTGCTACTAATGTCTATGGGGTTAGAGGGGGGAAACAATAAAGCAATTGTGCACTGGAATGCGACAGTGCCAGAGTAAGTCTCGGATCATAGAGACTGCCTTCAGTTTCCCAGTGTTGGTCTTCCTCTTTTTCATCAGTGTTTTATTTGAGAAACGAAGAAATAGAAACTTCTTTCTGGAGCTGTTGGAACAAGAGCCTAGTTTAGCTGCACTCAATGCCCTCTGGAGAAGGAAGTTTTTCTGTTTTTTGGGGGTGTTTTTGTTTTGTTTTGTTTTGAATACATGTTAGTAAGGTGGAACGTCTGTTGCTTCACAATTCACATGCCTACCTTCATAACACATTATTGGTTTTGTCACATAAGTTCTGTGCGGTTTGTTGTCAGCTTTCCTCCTCATCGTGTGTTTTTATTTGTAGCTTGGTTTATTGCTGAGGTGTGTTGATCTTCCTGATGGATCTCAAGAAAAAACAGCACAGACCCTAACCAATCTTTGAGTGTTAAAAGGCTTCATGCAGGAGATCTGAGATCTGCGCATGGATGAAGAACATCCTGTGAGACTTCTGTGCTCTGTATGTGGTGCATGTCACCTCGAGGGAAGCTCTGATCTGAATTGCTTCTCTGAAGAAGGAGCTCAGGCACTCTGCAGTCTCCTTACACTTTTCCATTCCACATCCTCCTTGCTGCCTGCAGAATTTTGTACCGAAATGTCACTGAGCATTCGGATAGGTGAGAACAGATGAATTGCTCTGTCCTTCCTTGCTGTGGTCAGAACTGGCTTCTTGTCACAAATCTGTGGGGATGTGGTTGGGAAAATGAGATATTTCTGTCTGTTTTTGCTGACCTTGATCTGACTCATGCACCACCTGAACAAGGATGGATGTGGGTGCTCCTGCAGTGAGCAGATGAAAGACTGGGGATGTTCTAATGATATAAATCAATGGTATGTCTTAGATTCATGCTACTACACGAAGCCAGTGGTGGTTTATAGATGCCCAAACCCAATACAGAAACTCAATTG